TCACTAACAGTAACATAGTCATTAATATCGAAGTCGTAACAGTTATGTAACAGTTTGAAGACGAGAAGACAATCAGTAAAAATAATTTGATAGCAAATAGGCAGTATGTTTAACATCACAAGACTGTCAGTATAATTAGTGGAACCAAGTATCCACTTTACTGCCTTTTTCTGAAATTTTTCCAAATCACGTAGCTTTGATAAATTTGGGTACCAAATACAAGAGTTATAAAGTAAAATGGACCTCACACAAGAAATGTACATTTGAAGCTTAGTTTTAACAGGTGAGCTGAAAGGAACATTACGCTTTAAATAATGAAAACACTTTGTAGCTTTACCAAGTTTCGCAGAAACATGGTGATTCCAAGACAAAGTAGGCGAGATATAAACACCCAAGTCTTTGATATGATCAACAGAGCATATTTCTGACCCGTTAAGATAAAGGTTGAAAATAGAGCTATTGTTTGAAATGAATTTAGTTTTGTCTGGATGAAAATCAAGACCGTTTTGGGTTGCCCAGGTCTCTACCGAATCTAAATCAGACTGAAAATTGTCATGACAGTTGTCTCGATAAAGCAGTTTCAGGTCATCAGCAAATGAAGACAGTGAGGAATACTTGACAACATCCGGGAGATCATTGATATAAATAAGGAATAAAAGTGGTCCTGAAATGCTTCCTTGTGGTACACCGCTAGAGATGTAACTTTTGTAAGATAGAATATTGTTAATACGTACTCTTTGTGAGCGATTGGAAAGATAAGATGAAATTAACATGATAAAATTTTTGTCAAAACCAAAAGAAGACAGCTTGTTCAGCAACTGTTTGTGTGACACAGAGTCAAAAGCCTTTTGAATGTCAAATTATACAGAACAAAAATTTTCATTGGCATCAATACATTTGTAAATATTTTCAACATATTCCAACAATTGTGTAAACGTGCTGCGCTTTTTAACAAAGCCATGCTGTCTACGAGAAAATTTGTGTTGAACATTAGAATAAATGAAAATAAAAAAGCAGTTTTTCCAAGCAAAGCGATAAGCGCGGTAAAAAACTAATTCCACGATAATTTGTATTGTCAGATTTTGGCCCGGACTTATGAAAAGGCATGATAAACGCCTCATTCCAAAAATCGGGCCAAAGACAGCAGGTAACATTTTGACTGAATAGAATATATACCATAGGCGTGAGTGCATCAGCATTATATTTGAGAACAAATGGTGGAATGCCATCAGCTGCAACTGCTGTGGTATCTGCTACCTTTTTAAGTTAACTATTTACATCACTTTCACCAAACGATAAATCGCGCAAGTTAATGGAAGTATTATCAGAACAACCGTTATACGTAAACGTTTCGCTTTTGTACACAGAACAGAAAAAGTATTTAAACAAATCGGCTTTGGTGTTATCAGTAGAAGCTTATGAGGCTCCCAATTTAACAACAGAAGGAATTGGTGTGCTGCCAGAAAGTTTGTGAAGTAACTTGAAACAGTCGTTAGTATCAAGTGAATGAAAAGAAGACAGTAATGTAATTTTGTCTAGCTCAATCGAGTTATTCAAATCTCGTTGAAGATCAGACAACAATGTCGAATAGAGCAAATTGAATTTCGCCAATTTACGCTTCTCAGTAGAGACTTTGTTACTGAGATGTACGGAATGGCTAGAAAAATAGAATGGTAACCTTGATCTTTTCTTTCGTTTCAGTCAAATAGAAGTCTAAACCGACTTTATCATAGCATCATACCACGCAAGATAAAAATCAGTGGGAATCATTTGAAAATAAACTTGGAAAAGGCAACCAAATATAACTAAAAAATTCATGAAAATATCGATGTTAAAAGTGTTTTTAGAATCAATTGGAAAGTCATTAGGTAAATCAGAAGTGATGCTTTCAGAATTCGACACATGGAAAATAACTGTAACAGGATAATGATCGGATGTAAAATGGTCTGGTTCCACATTCATTGAGCACAGCTCAGGTTGACTTGTAACAAAAATATCTAGCGTGTTGCCGCTAATATGCGTCGGCTCAGTCACTAGTTGGACACAATTCAATGAATCGAAATTGTCGATCACAGCCTGTGAACTAGCGGTAGTGGCAGAGTGAGATATCCAACACGCGTCTGGCATATTGAAATCACCAAAAATAGAAATAATACCACAGGGAAAATCATGCAGAAACTTTGAAGTGTATAACTCCAGACACTGAGATAAATGTGTGGATGATACTCTATAATTTGATGTGGCGGGGGGATTATAAACCGATAAGATAAGGATTTAAGGATCTGTACTTAAGACAGTGCCGCAAGCAAAATCAAAATCAGGTAAAGTGCAGTCCCAAGCCGCCAGGTTCAAACCATCACGCACAAGTATTGCAACTCCGCCGGGATTGCCATTTTTTTTGGGTAGCTTGTGAATTTGTGTAATAACCTGTATTAGGTAAAATGTTTGTGTCATTGGAGCTTAACCAAGTTTCGCATAAACACAAAAGATCAGGAGACATGAAATTTAAAAGTTTGATACAGGATAAACGTTTGTCAAGGCTGACCAAACTACGAGAATTCCAAGATACAACTGTTACACTGGTCAGTCATGCAGTAATATCCACGACAATGTCTTTGTGAAAGAGTTGTAAATTCCGAATTTTCAGATCTTGCTTTGGAGTTCCGCTATTGATTACTTCCCAGCGTTTCTTGAGAATTAGTTTTTCCAATGCAAGTTCATTCCTTGTTAGAGACTTCGATATAAACACTGGTGTGCGATGCGAAATTCTTTGAGAAGTTGTGCTTTTTTCAGAACTTTGCTAGCAGTCCATTCATTGGAAAATTTCACCAAAACAGACCGAGGTCGTGTATTAGTGGATTGAATTGACCCAAACGTTTAATTGAGGATACATTATATCGATCCCACTCATTCAAATGCTTAAGCACATCAGATACAAGGTTTTCATCAAACTCCATCCGTTTGAACTGTGTATTATCAGTTGGTTCCCGAGTACCACAACTCGGCCTGTCGTTGCACACCGTTTTGGATGGTTTGATGCTGTGCATTTTTACTATATTGAAATTGTCTGTTTCTGTTCTGTATTTTTCAGATACAAATTTAATTAACTTTTTACTAAAAAAAAAATTATCAGTTGGATCAGGAAGGTTCTGAATGCGAATTTCAAGTTTGCGTTCAAGTTTCTCAGTAGATACTCTTGACTGAGTGTTAAAAGCAGGTAAAATAGTAGATAAGTTGTCCTTCACTAATTTATCAACAGTATTAGGTAACTCTGAAAGAGCTTCCTTGATAGCATGTTGAACAATAACATGAGAAACAGGTAAAGCTTTCTTTGATAAACAAATATTGCATCTGAATAACAGTAACTTAAATTTAGTAATTTGCGGGATAAGATCAGTTGGTAGACCGCAACAGGCATTGTGAAACCACTCATCACAAATGTCGCACTGTATCCATTGTGATCCAGGTTCTCCAGTCTTCTTGCATTTCGCACAGTTTCCGCTATCCGTTGTGACAACATCCGTTGTGGATATTGAGTCTGCACGTCTGGTTCGCATACTCAAAATATGAAGCTATTTAATAAGTTTATCACAACAATTAGGCTAACACGGTTTGTAGTCTGATGTCGCAATTCGGTTTTTCGATGTTAAACTTTTCAACCGCCGTGCTAAATCCTGGCATAAAACTATGTCTGACGCCTATAAATATCATGAGAGTGTCAAAACAGTAAAATACCAACAAAGAGTTTTTTTATGTGGAACACAGCAGCTTTGTTCCACTAATTTTTGCGTGTACTGGAGGAGCAGGACCGGACTCTACAAGAACCGTTCTGAAACTAGAAGAGAAACTAAGCGAAAAACGGAAGGATTTATACTCCGAGACAATAAATTTTACAAGAACCAAAATAAGTTTGCATTTCTGAGGAGTGCAATCTTCTGCCTCAGGGTCTGCAAAAAACTTAAAAATACATCCAACATAACAATTCAATCTGTGCTACAATCGAGGAGGCTAGATTTTAATTCTCTGGATGCCGTAAAATCGACTTCATTTGTTCGTAAATTTTTGCCGATTTATTTATACAGCGTTGGTGTGGCCCTATCCAACCTGTGCACGGACGGTCACATGACGGAAGGTCCCATATTAATTGACCCCCTCTTATGATATAACGATGATATTTGTTTTGGAAAATAAAGGCATTTACGTAGTTGCTCCAAGCTTTTCCTATTCATCAAGTAACATAACAATCATGGTCTTTTTTCAACCGTGATGTTTCAGAATAAGTAGCTTGCAGTTTTTGTTTCATTTTTGTCCGGTTACGTTGCGCCATTCGAACCTCAAGAAACTCAATTGTTTTCGAATTTCTTACGACTGCAGAGTAGGTGACTCAATTTTTATTGGCTTGAAAACTGTCTGCTTGTTACTTTTGAAGTGCCCTTTTTACCATGTGTTTTAATCAATATCTACATTAAAGAAATAGTTTTTGTAGGCTGTCTTGGAAATTAATTACACGCAACGTAATACACTAGTCGACAAAGTTAAACGCAAAATAAGGATTTCACTCTGTTGGCTTGAACATTGGCACTGTTGGCACTCTCATTGTACATTTTGGACAACATTTCCTTCGAAATTCAGTTAAATTTTTACATGACCTGGAGCAAATGAGCAGAGCTACCATCAATGAAAGTATCAATATTTGGTTTCAATGACTTGCCAATGTAATCCGGGTCTGAAAATGCCAATTTTCCTCATCTGCACTAGTTTTTGCTTCGTAGTTAAATCTTTCTTGAATAAGCGGAGTAAAAAATTTGTTCATGCATTGTGAAACATTCTTAGCGAGAAATTGTAAACACTCGTTGTGAAAAATTTACCACAGATGGTAGCTCTGATTATTTTGCTCTTGGTCAATAAATTTTTTTTGAAGGAAACGTTGTCCAAAATGTACATTGAAAACAGGCATTTTACTGAGTAAAATCCTAAATTTGCGCTTAATTTTGTCCACTTGTGTAGACAAAATAATTAAATAATTAGTTGGATGCCTAATTTTAGACGCTGTTCTTTACTCTTACAAAAAAACTATCAAAAAAGTTATCAGAGCTCTTAATTCGTTTTAATCACAAATACGTCGCAATCGGTTGTTTCTGCTGCTATGATAATCTGGTTTTACCCGCATGCGTATTTTGAATTTTAAAAGACCAGTTAAGCATAACTGCAGCGTTTTTTCTCGCAGTCGGCTTCCTTCTGAGCCCCTTCTATCGTTTACAGGTAGAAAATTTGGTATGCAGTTAATTAATTATCTTTTCTCTTTTATTGTCTACAAGGTGGTCCATTTTTTATTAGCTGATGAGAAAGAACGCATGTTTGATTTGATAGTTTGTAAGCCTTCGACCAATGTATATTTATTCAAAATTTTACACTCGATCTAACATTGAAGTTTCTCATTTTAATTTTTGATATTAAAGTTGCTTGGTAACATTTTTGATCGACCTGTCGTAATGTACGCTTTGTTCAAAGTTGTGCTTGTCTTCGCTGCGCAGCTATTTTGAACGTTCATCTGAACGCAGACAAGTTTATATTATAATTCAATATTTTCGCATCAATGTGTATTTGATTAGAGTTGATTTTGTAACAAATATCTAGAAAAAAATCATATAACCACATTGAGTACTCAAAATGTCAACAGCTCGGGTCTCTAGGCCACAGAGCCAAGCTCTGGTTATGCAGGAGCGTATGATGTCGAGTTTACCTGACATTGCACATCCTGCTTCAAAACTAGGAAATCCCGCGGATATTCAAGTTGCCTCTTCGGCGCCTCACAATGCCTTGGCGTCGGGTCTTATTACGGACCGAAGTTTGGTCCGTTCTTCCGGCGATGTTCCTTTTCGAGTCGCCCGAAGTGCTGCAGCCACTCCAAGAATAGCATCATCTGCAAGTGGGGTCCACCTCCCGCCTATATCCAGAGGAAGTGCGGTAATTACTGCTTCCGGAGCCCGGCCCAGCATGCCAGTACTGGGAGAGAAGACGGAGGCGCAACCAAGGTTAGATAGTGCTCAGTCTCACTTTAGCGCAACTTCAAACATTCCTGATTACCAATCAAAACTGAAAATAGAAGTTGACGAGCTGTTAGCTGCTGTTACAAAGAAAGTGAATGACAATTTCTACGATGTCAGAAGTGCATTTGTGACCGCTGATTTGGATGGACAAGGGACCACTTCGAGGGATCAGTGCCACAGAGTTTTGATGACAATAATGGGACGAACAATTAGTATGAAGCATTTTAATCATCTCCTAGCGCGAGCGGGACTTGCTGAAAAAGCGATCATAAGCTATACCCAGTTCTACACTGCATTCAGAGAGAAAGATAGCTCCGAACCACCAGCTATATTTGACACTCAGTTCAAACATTTTGCACAGGATAAGAGCATGTTAACTGCAGCCCAGGTTAACGCCTTACTAAAGGAGAAAGCACGCAAACGAGTGTTGGAACTAGGAGACATCATTCCGAATTTTGTGGTATCTGATGATCCGAACGATAAAGGGAGAATCATGAAACCCGAACTACAGGTAGCCTTGAGACAACATGGGTTCGACATGTCTGAAGCGGAGTTCGACAAACTATGGGCGCGCTACGATGAGCAAAATTTAGGAGTTATTGACTCGAAAGTCATGATAAAGAAGCTTGGCATTCATTTCACGAAGGATGGTTCGCATCCTCAAGAAAGCGAAGTCAAAACAGGCGGACGTAAAAGAAAAGTCCTAGGAGGTCATGAAGTTGAGCGGAAGCTACTCGGTGAGTTACATAAGAGTCACGTGTTGGTCAGAGATGCATTTGCTAACTTGGACCCCGATCAATCGGGAAGTCTTCCATTTGAAGAGGTGCTCAAAGCTATGTCAGCTATGGGAATCGAGATATCGAAAGAAGTTCTTATGGAGATGCTCCATCGTCATGGCATTATGTGCGACGCGACCAATAATTCAGTACCATATGATGATTTGTTGAGCAAAATACAGGCACATAAAGACGACGATGCCTTTAGCAAGCTTGTGAACGAAATCCGAGGGAACGAAATGACGCAAAACATCACCAAAGTGGAGCACACACTAAAAGAATTGTTCCAACCTCATTTGCAGAAGCTTCTCGAAGCATTTGACAAAGCAGACAGGCTACATTTGATGTTCTTGTCGAAAGAAGAGTTCAAAAAAGTACTGGAAACTGAATTGGGTATGAAAATCGAGGACAAGGAAATGGAAACTTTGTCAGAAAGGTTGCCACTTGACGAAGATGGAAACGTTTTCTATAACAAATTCTTAGACCAGTTCAACTTCAGAGCTCTTTCAGGGGCAATCATTGAGGAACCAGAGGAAGAAGAAAGCACAGAGGCATGGGATCAATTTGAGAAGGGACGTTCAATTCAAGAGTTGACCAAGCAGATAAAAATGGCACTCTGTGACCATTTCTTTGACATGGAACGCTATTACAAAACAAACATAGATTACAACACTGATACTGGAAAGCTCAACCAAGTCCAACTACAAGCTATGCTAAATTCGTTCATGGTCCCTGAATTGACCCTCGGCGAGATTAGATCATTGTGGAAAACGTTCCATCTCAATCAGAACAAAACGCTCGACTACCAGACGCTAGTGAGGCACTTTCTGTACGATAAAAGGACTGCTGCGTACCCCAATCAAAGGATACTGCCTCCTCAGATTGGAGACTCAGACCTGATCAAGAGGTCAAACATGGTGAACAGTTCACGTGACCTGGTGTTCAACATGCTGCATAGGAAGTTAGATGTTCACTGGGACCAAGTGAGAGGCGAAATGAAGTATTTGGATCCTTATGGAACTGGATTTGTGTCTTACCAGCAATTCAAAAATGTAATGAGCGAACTACAAGTTGAGCTGGACCCATACGAACTAAGTCTGCTGTGTGAAAAGTTTGACACTACAAATGATAAACGTGTGAATTATATCGCGTTGCTTCAACAGTTCGCTGGACGAGTTAAAACCAGCAACATTGCAGAAGTCTTCAACCAACATCCGAGTAAACCGGCCGACGACAGCGATGTTGTGGTTGATAAAATGACAGAAATGACAAAGAGGTTACGTGAAAGACTTCTGAGTGACGTCAAGAACCTTAGAAAGGCTTTTAAGAAACTTGACGATTCCAAATCAGGATACCTATCGATCTCAGAATTCAGATCTGTGCTGGAATTATGCAATGTGGTCTTAGACGAAGAAGAATCGTTCCAGCTTGCCGCCAGATATGATGATGAATTAAGTGGAAAGTTGAAATATGACAATTTCTTAAAAGATCTACAAAAGACTCCTAAATACCTCAAGGAAAAGCCTCTAATCTCTACTAATATGCAATGAACTCGAAAATTTTAATTTAGGTTTCAACTAAAAGTATCTGCTTTGTCAATAAAGTTTGTCGTTTCATTCTACTTTTTCCACTGAGACTGGCAATGAAAATCAAGCTTCAAAAATCTTACTAATAGACTTGCAACTTTGATAGCAAAATTAAGGAGCAATTTACAAATAGGTCACAATCCTGAATCAATATTTCTGCCCGATACCCGTTTGTAACTGATATTTAAAAATTACATGTACGTCATTTTTATATTTTACAGCTAACGTATATAATCTCAGATATCATTTTACTACACTCAAAATCAATTAGGCAAGTCTGAGTAGTTGAAGTTATGACACTTTCAAGATAATCACATGCCAAGAAAATCACGTGAAAAATCTATCATTTAAGTCTGAGTAGAATAACTGGTTTCAAGTATTTTGATTATGCCTCTTGCTAAAAACATGTATTGTAGGAATTCAAGCAACGTCTGAGTAAAAATCGGGCGGAGTCAGAGAAAATGTAGCAAACGTCCAAGAAAACACTCAATGCATATTAGTAATTATTATTTTTTTAAAATGTGAATCAATTGATCCCACTTTTTGCTTAACTAAAGCTAAAATCTATCTCAACGTATTGTTTGCCGCATTTACATAACATTGGAGAAATACAATAGAAGCATGATGCAGTTTCAGCCTTCCTTTGACATGCTTGCTGCTTCCAGCGAGGTGCTCGAGAATGTTAAGGAACGGGCTTTGGTACACTTATGAGGGCAAGTGTCTCGTTATCGAGAACAAGCCTTTATTTTCAGTAAACAGCGTTTGTTACATGTTCATCAGTTCACGCTTCAAAGGTCACTCAGCGCTGACATCCTCAATTTCATTAAAGTTCAGTTTTAGTTACCTTTACACATCCTGACTCAAACCTTGATCATTTACTTGAAAGTAAATTAATAAACAACTCGAGTTAAAATTGATTTTGTTGATACAATTTTTGTGGCTGAAGATTTTTGGCCTTGTTGCCTCATAATATGTTAAAGAAGGGGAAATTGAGTTTTGCTTGTGGGCGTATGGGGAGGTGGTTTAAAAACATATGAGGGTTTTCAGTTTTTGGCTGTAAATATTTGAAGAACTGACAGCTCAATAGTAAGTACTGATGAACGAAGTGAAGACAGTTATTTAGGTCCTGTGGTTTTTTAAAAAAATGTTCACTATTAAAATGTGTAAAAAATGTTTTCGAGTTTTGACTTTGGTTTCTTTTGGAGTGCACTTCTTTTGCTAAGTTGAAGGTAAATTACGCTGTACAATAACCAAACAAAAAGCAAATGGCGCAGTTAAACGTCTTGAACTTTGGTTTCAAAACTAGGAATTAATTTTTAGTTCAAAACGTTGGTATGAATTTTTATTCCAGCGGAATAAAAAAATGCTTATTGGTCAAGTTTTCTCATTAAGTAGAAGTTTTTCAAGAGTCAGTCATCTGTAATTTTTCATAATGAAAGAGCGTTATAGTGGTTTATGTGTCTTTGAAACTCAAAAGAACAATTTTTTCAAAAAGTGGATAGTGTTTTGTGGTTTTCTTGGCGTTTTCAAAATTGTCTGTTGGCTATATTTGTTTGATTCATATTCGAAACAAGATGTGTTGGTCAAGACACCGCTCTAATTTAGTCAATGTGAGCTCAACGCTCCAATAGCTTTTTGGCGATTTCCACGTCAAATTCTCCGAAATTAAAATGTCTAGTATGAAATTCCAGAAGTGGAAAGTTTCTAGCAGAATATTTCTATTGGGCTTTGAGAGTAAACCATGCGCTTGATTATTAGACTTTTGTTTTTGGTAATCAAAACCTGATGCGTTTTTTCCCTTTTTGCTTCGCCTTTATTTGGAAAAGAAATTCATGCGGCTGAAAAAAAGTGATATGCGTTTTTGAAGTCAACGTACTCAACCAATTTTTCCCCTCAACTTTCCTAGGAAATCAGTTAAAAAGTGATCTGGTTTTTTGCGTAACGTTTGTTTTAACCTTTGAGGCCTCTTCTCGCTTGGTCTAGAAGTAATGCATAGGATCTGGGGTCAGTCACGTTCTGACCTTGTTTTTCCCCGATGTGTGGAACTTAAAATGATTTTGGGAAGACTTGAATTTGTGGACTAATTTTGTTTACTTACTTTTTGCCAGCTTATTTTCCAAAGTATGAATAATCTCTTCGACGCATCTTTTTTTCTAATATAAGATATTTTAATTATCACTCAAAGTCGTTTTGTTTTGTTAACCAAATCTTATTTTTTGCTTACCTTTACTCAAGTGAGCGTTGTATCGAATAACGAATAATTTATTTCCTTACCCAACTCGCAAATAAATGTGCCGGTGGCCGTTTGATAGCATGTTCTATCGCCTTTTTTGGTAACTAGAGTTTGAGTATTTTCAAGCGACAATAGTGCAGATGCGAGGACATGAGACTCTTAATCTGTGCTTAGTTTTTTTTTTAGCTTAAGTGGGTTCGGCTGATGTTATATTAACTTAGTTACTTTAGATTGCGTCGTTCAAAATGAAAAATAGGTTGTTATGCTTTTGTGTTTGAAGAGGAACGAGGCTTAAATATTTACTCAAGTGAGCTAGTGAGCAGTGTTAAATAACAAAAAAAAGAATTCTAACCCACTCGCAAATAAACGTACCAGTGGCAGTTTGATAGCATCTGTTCTGTCGACTTTTCGGTGGCTAGTGTTTGAGTATTTTCAAGCGACTATAGTGCAGATGCGAGGACATGAGACTCTTAATCTGTGCTTAGTTTTTTTTTAGCTTAAGTGGGTTCGGCTGATGTTATATCAACTTAGTTACCTTAGATTGCGTCGTTCAAAATGAAAGATAGATTGTTATGCTTCTGTGTTTGAAGAGTAACGAGGCTTAAATATTTACTCAAGTGAGCTAGTGAGCAGTGTTAAATAACAAAAAAAAAAATTCTAACCCATCCGCATATAAACGTACCAGTGGCAGTTTGATAGCATCTGTTCTGTCGACTTTTCGGTGGCTTGTGTTTGAGTATTTTCAAGCGGCAATAGTGCAGATGCGAGGACATGAGACTTTTAATTTGTGCTTAGTTTTTTTTAGCTTAAGTGGGTTCGGCTGATGTTATATTAACTTAGTTACCTTAGATTGCGTCGTTCAAAATGAAAAATAGGTTGTTATGCTTTTGTGCTTGAAGAGGAACGAGGCTTAAATATTTACTCAAGTGAGCTAGTGAGCAGTGTTAAATAACAAAAAAAAAGATTTCTAACCCACGCGCATATAAACGTACCAGTGGCAGTTTGATAGCATCTGTTCTGTCGACTTTTCGGTGGCTAGTGTTTGAGTATTTTCAAGCGACAATAGTGCAGATGCGAGGACATGAGACTCATAATCTGTGCTTAGTTTTTTTAAGCTTAAGTGGGTTCGGCTGATGTTATATCAACTTAGTTACCTTAGATTGCGTGGTTCAAACTGAAAAATAGATTTTAATGTTTTTTTTTGTTTTAATAGGAACGGGGCGTAAAAATTTTGATTTTCAAAATTTTGTAGCTCAATTTTTACCCTGACAACATGCTGTTTTTAGCTCAAATAGTGTCTACCGAAGTATTTTCGGCTTAGTTGCCCCTGAGTAAGTATTTTTAGATGCTTTTTTACACGGCTGGCAGTATTGTTTTTCCTGACATGTTTTCGTTTCGATTGAACATCAATCGAGACGAATTTGTAAATTTTTTGTAGATCTAGTTTTTCAAAAATATTTTTTTTTGGCCTATGGTTTTCCTCAGTTTCTGTCTGCTGTCTTACAATGCTATGTTGCTTCACAAATGTTTTGGAACTTCGCTTCGCATCTGGGTAATATTGCAGACCAAAGCTGAGTAAAAAAAGCTGGTGAAATAATTTGCTATTTAAAGCTCGGCAAGTTCGCAAATGCAAAATTTGGCGCTTCTTTAAGGTTGTCTACAGTATGTTAGACAAAGGTAACGAATTTTACCTGTTGGCGAAATTCTATAACTATCACTGGCAGTTGTCATGACTCATCCGCTACTCAGTTAGGAAAAGCCTTACTTATTAATATTATTCATCTTGATTTTATGACTAGCTGGTTAATCAAAGTTTGGCTGATCAGTAGTAACTCGAAAGATAAATATTCTACAAATGAAAAAAATCTTTATTTTAATTAAAGCCATTTACACATTTCATCCGTCGCTCATTTCCCTCACACTTTTTATTACATTTTAATAGCACACTTGTTTCGCCCTTCATTCGTTACGGGACTTCGTGTTTGAGTTATAAGGAGCGAAGTGTTTGAGTGGACTGCCTGAATGAAATTGAGTGGGGCAAAATACGTTAGGGGCAGAGCTTGACACAGTCGTCGTCAATTGCGTGAATTGTACAGTGTTTTCATCCATCCGAAGGTGCTTGGGAGTTCAGCAAACAAAGTTCCAATAGTCAAGTCATTCATTATTCAGGTACAGTTTTACTCACTCTAAAGTGACTCGGAATCTTTTATAAAAGTGCTGTTGTAGTGACCCGGAGTAATAAAAGTGGCGTTGTTGGTTTTTTTGCTCGCTGCATGCCGTTTTGAGATCACTGATGAGCATTTTATGGTTTCATTTTTTTAGGTTGAGAATGATTAAAATCAAGGCAAGTTGAAAAATGTCATAATGTCCCAGCAAGACTCAGATGAGAATTTTTACAGTGCGGAGGACGCATACTACGAAGACTCCATCTCATCCATCATATCCGACTCTGAGTTGTCGCAAAATGAAACCAGACAATCATACCAGGAGGTCATAATACCGAACACGATTAACCTTTCCAACAATGTTTATGATGGTACGGCAAACTCTGTAAACACCCTAAATAGCTCTTCACATACGCAACCAGTTGATGATTCCGGTACAGCCTCTGCGCAAATTGGCACATTTTTCGGGCGTCACGAAGAAAGTACAGCCTCAGTCAACGCTCCAGGTACTGCAACTTCTTCTCTGGCGAACAGCACAAGCTATTCATTCCATTCACCCTCAAGCAGTGTTGGTAGTCCAAGTGTTGTGAGAAGTTCGAACAATGAATCAGAAGAAGTTCAGTTCCATTATGAGATATCCAGAGCATCTCGTCATTCTGAGGCCAGTACAGTTTCTGTTTCACAAGTCGCAGAAGACGAGCAGCAAGAAGTGATGGTAATGGACCAATCAGAAGAAGACGATGAAGATATTCTGGACTACAACGAAGACAACGAGGAGGTGGATTCCAACACTGAAGATGAGGATGAGGGAGAAGAGGCCGAGAATGCGGAAGGGGGTCCAAATGGAGTCGGAATCATGGCTACGAATCTGGCTGAACTGGCTGTGCTCACGGGAACTGGTGCTAACATGTACGTAGAAACACGTCGTAGAGGCATAGGTTTTCAAAATCTGTTCACCTATATTAGACGAGGTGCTTTCAGACATCCTGGCGAGAGGGTGCGACAAATTGATGATGCAAATGTCCCTGGTCTATCTTCAGACCAGATCCAAAGCATGAATTTTGACCTGAGTTTGCCGGATAGACACCAGTACTTAGGCGATGATATGGAAGTATTAGCTGGGAGAACAGTGCACGAGGAAAAGGATGTTTTGGTCCTCCCTTTCATGCGCCAGGTTGCCCATGTTTTGCTTCCTAAACAGTCGATGCCGATGTACTTCAATCGCCAGACAGACGTGGCGCTTCTGCGTCGTGTGTTGTCGGGTGACAAAACATTTGTTATACTTCCCCTTTTGGATCGAGTATCAGTTCGAAACTTTGTGCACTCTGAAGCTGTCGGAAAAATTGCTGTCATAGCCGAAGTTGTGATGTCTTCCGAAGATGACCTGGATAATTTTAAGGTCATAGCGGAAGGACGGCAGAGGTGTCGCGTGCTTGAATACTTGGGCACTTATCATGGCGATGGTGTGAAGTCTCTAAGGGTGCAGATTCTGCCGGACAACAACCTGCAATATAACTTGTTCCAAGATATTGACAGGCACCTTTCTTTGCAATACCTTACCCTTTCGAACTCTAAACACATACACAGTCCATACTCCATTTCTCCAAAATATCACCCATGGATTATTGAAGCGAATAATGTCTACGCTTTGATGGCTCAAATTAGAAACATTTTGTGCTCGTTATTTAAAAATGAAAGTGGTATGGCGAAGTTGGTTTACGATGATCCGAGTGACTTCTCGTTTCTTGTTGCCAGTTTTCTGCCTCTATCGAACCGAGTGAAGCACAAACTACTTGAAAGCAGCTGTGCCTTGCATCGACTGAAATTAGAACGAGAGTTCCTGAGAAGGTGTGAATTCCTCTATTGTTCCCAATGTGGGGATAAACTGGCCAGTGTGTCGGAAGTGATTGTCATGTCGAATACAGGGGCACTGGCCAGTTATGTCAACCCAGTGGGAGTGATCTACGAGACTTTGACTCTGAATAAGCTTTCGGTCAGGGTCAATTGTGTGGGTCGACCTCAAACGGAAAACAGGTACGTCGGGTCTAGATTATGTCTTATGAGCAGTGAGGTTTCGTCTGAGTTCATTCTAATTATCATTATGTGACTTTAATAAGGTTCTGCATAAGCTCAAACTGCACGTTTAAAATTTAAAAGTTTAGACGTAAGAAGTTAAACCGACAACCAAAAATTTGTATAATCGAAGACTATTTTAAAACTACGTTAGTTATGAGAATTAACCGGTTGTTTGGAATGTTTTATTTTAACGCGCACAACCCTATTTGAAATAGATTTGGTTGAAAGTATTTGAGGGAGGAAACCTAAGGAAAGTTGAAAGAATAAACTCCAAACAATGTTAACCTTAAGGTTAAAACTATTTATCTATCTATATCTCTATCTATCTATCTATCTATCTATCTATCTATCTATCTATCTATCTATCTATATCTATCTATACAATATTTAAATGCATGTGACAGCTATCTCCCATGTTTAAGCGTAATATTTTTGCATTAGTTTTCCGCAAGGTCATTAATTTTTTAGTATTTTTTGAGGCCAAATTAAGTCTGTCTGACTGTATACCTGTTTTTTTATTCAATTGTTTGTTCCTCTCTACCCGTCTCCTAATTTTTCGACTTTGAATTTGGTTTCGACGATTCAGTTCAAAATAGTACTACTGTTCTATTTTTGCACGTTTAAGCTATATCGTACATTGCAATGGTTAAGATTTTTTTTTCGATTTTTTTAGATGTCCAAGATTATTTCATCAGTTTTGAATTTAGCAAAATTTGATATTCTCAACCCTGTAGTTGGGTGCTGCCAGAGTACTCTCAGGTATTGCGAATCTTGCCTCCAAATCTCACTACTCAAATCCTTATAGTTTTTGCGATTTGACGCGTTTTTTAGGATTTTTTCAAAGTTTTTCAAAAAACTTAGATATAGAAAATTTCACAAAATTTGAGGATTCTATCTCTTTAGTGAGGCTTTGTCAGATTACTCCCAGGAGTTTCGAAATTTGCCTCCAAATATGACTGCTCAAATCCTTGTAGTTTTCGAGATATGACGTTTTTTGTGATTTTTTTAAAAAATTTAAAAAAACAATTTTTTTTCTTCAATTTTTAAAACTCCTAACCCAGTAGTTGTGGAGTATCGACGTGCTCTCAGGGGTTGCAAACTTTGCCTACAAATGTGGTTTTTTTATTTTTTGTCAAAATTTTTACAGAAAAATTAAATTAAATGTAAATTTCTTTTAAAAAATTTGAAATTCCTAACCCTGTAGTTGGGGGCTGTCAGAGTATTCTCAGAGGTTGCGAATCTTGCTTCCAAATATGATGGCTCCAATTTTTGTCTTTTTGAGATATGACGTTTTATATGATTTTTTAAAATATTTTTTTTTGGAAAATTTAAGTCTGAAATTTCTCAAAATTTGAAATTCCCAACTCTGAAGTCGGGTACTGTGAGAAAACTCAGAAGTTACAAATGTTTCAATGCGACTGCTCCTTTGCTTTTAGTTTCCTTTGCTTTTAGTTTCCGTTTTTTAATGTCATTTTGAAATGTTTCAAAGAATTTTATGTTTTTCAAAGTTTAAGTAAAAAATAATTGTTTATTACGCTTGCGACTAGCAAGCGTTATCAAACTAAAATATAGACTTTTTTCCGGGTTTACAACTAGTTTAACAGAATCACTTGAATTTTTTGATTGCTCGCTCTTTAATTGAAGTTAAATTTCATGTATATGTGGGTCCAGTGGTGCGGTGGTAAAGAGAGGGGTTATGTCGCGAAGGATCAAATTTCCAGTACCAGTGAACAATTCTAGTCATAAACGAGATCCACAGAATCCGTGTCCGTCTGTTTCGGATTCCGTGAACTTGCTTCCGCATTGTAAATTATTTGGTCGCGGAAGCCTCACTTTTGGTCCCAATTTTGAGCATGGACTCCACAACCTTGGTTTGAGCCCTTATTTTCGGAATTCGCAGCGAAAATAAAATCAAAAGGATAAGGAATTGGTGAAACCAAATTTTCAGGTTCAAAACGATCGAAACCGCATATGCAAAAAAATAGTGAAAACTGTGGCACCCATCTTTCATGCTCTTCCAGGGACCCAAGTGCCATACTTACACTAGAAAAGAAAAATGTCAGGAAGCGGAGAGTCTAAATAATTGTTTATTACGCTTGCGACTAGCAAGCATTATCAAACTAGAATATAGACTTTTTTCGGGTTAACAACTAGTGTAACAGAATCACTTGAATTATTTGATTGCTAGCTTTATTAATGAAGTTATTTTTCATGAATATGTGGGTGCAGTGGTGTGGTGGTAAAGAGAGGGATTATATTGCGAAGGATCAAATTTCCAGTACCAGTGAACAATTCTAGTCATAAGCGAAATCCACGGAATCCGTATCCGTCTTTTTCGGATTCCGTGGACTTGCTTCCGCATTGTAAAAAATTTGGTCGCGGAATCCTCACTTTTGGTCCCAATTTTGAGCATAGACTCCGCAGCCTTGGTTTGAGCCCTTATTCTCGGAATTCGCAGCGAAAAATAAAATCAAAGGGATAAGGAATTGGTGAAACCAAATTTTCAGGTTCAAAACGATCGAAACCGCATGTGCAAAAAATATAGTGAAAACAGTGGCACCCATCTTTCATGCTCATCCAGGGACGCAAGTGCCATACTTACACTAGAAAAGAAAAATGCCAGGAAGCGGAGAGTCTAAATAATAGTTTGATACGCTTGCGACTAGCAAGCGTTATCAAACTAGAATATAGACTTTTTTCTGGTTAACAACTAGTGTAACAGAATCACTTGAATTATTTGATCGCTCGCTTTATTATCGAAGTTAACTTTCATGAATATGTGGGTGCAGTGATGTGGTGGTAAACAGAGGGGTTATGTCGCGAAGGATTAAATTTCCGAATTCGAAATCATGTCAGTTTTTTTTAAGAGTCGATGATCATAGTTATATCGGTCGCGATAATTTTTTCTTTTTTCCTTACAGAAAAAGTCTTAAACTTCATTCATGCTCAAAATCACTTTTTTGCGCTTTGATTTCTGATTCCTTTAGCTTTGCAATAAGCAAGGGTATTGCAAACGGGTACTAGCCTTTTTCCCGTAAAAACTTTGTTCACAGGACTCATCCGGACTCTTGGTAGTACCTTGGTTAGTATTGGTTTGACATTTTTATGTGTCACCTGCACACTTAGCCTGGAGGTAAGGAATACGTCTGGGACAGCAATGGTCCAGGGTTCGAATCTGACCAGAACCTGTTTTTCATTTTCAAACGGTAAATATTCTGGTTAAATAAGCTTCGGCCTATAATTTGTCTGCTTATGTTTTTTTTGGCTTAGTTGCCGCATCTAAGAGTAGTTTTTTTGCTGCAAACAATTTTCACTATAATTGCTTTAAGTGTTTTAGCGTTTTAAAATTGCGGCCGAATCGAAATTGGTTTCCTACATTGGTTTTATTTTTACTAGCTCGATATGTGAAAACTTTTTTTCTTTCATATTTTGACTTTTTTATCGGCTTAGTATGTTTCGGTTTGATTTATTTTGACCTAGTGAGATCCTATTGCATCGATTGGGGATCTTAAAAAGTTTTGGTAGCGTGCGTGTGTTCTCAGGGGAAAAGGAGCTTTTTTTTCGGTGTGAAAGGTTTCTGCTCAGGCATTTTCGGCTTTCTTAGCGCTTGTTTCTTTTAAGTTCAAATTCAATCAATCATCCGGCGCATCTGGAGTAGAGATAAACCTTGATTTCGCAAAGGGTTGTAGTTGGAATCCGTCAGGGACCTGTTTTTTTTTTAGCAAACTACAGTTTGTGCTTTTTCAAGCTATCGTCCTTCTGTCGATTTCTGTCGTCTTTACGTAGGTCGAATTTTTTTGAAGCTTAAGCTTTCTTCCAAATTGATTTAACCCCCATACTTAAGTTGACAAAGTACGGTAAATGCTCTTGATTGCTTTTTTTCAACGGAGAAGATTGTTTTCCTTGACATGCTCTCGATAAGCAAACGTTATCAAACAAGAATTTATACTTTTTTCGGGTTAACAACTTGTTTAACAGAATCACTTGCATTTTGGCTCATAATTAATTCAAAATTCTATGTGTCTCCAGCCAACTTAGCCTGGAGGGGACGAGTATGCCGTGGACGACAAAGGTCCTGAGTTCAAATCTGACTACGACCTGTTTTTCTCAAACGGTAAGTTTTCCTGTTCAAGTCTTTCGGCCTATTATTTGTCTGCTGATTTTTTTTCGGCTTAGTTGCCGCATCCAAGAATCGTTTTTTTGCTGCTACCATTTTTTTTCCGGAATTTTGCTGTTTGTGTTGTTTTAACTCCTACAATATGTAATTTTACTAACCTTGACTTCGTATTTCGTTCTTAGTTTTTTTCTGTGTTTCGCTAAACAATTCTTCCGCCCTTTACTAGCTCGATATGTGAAAACTTTTTTTGTTTCATATTTTGACTTTTTTATCGGCTTAGTATGTTTCGGTTTGATTTATTTTGACCTAGTGAGATCCTGTTGCATCGATTGGGGATCTAAAAAAGTTTTGGTTGCGTGCGTGTGTTCTCAGGGGAAAAGGAACTTAAAATTAAATTTTTTTCGGTGTGAAAGGTTTCTGCTCAGACATTTTCGGCTTTGTTAGCGCTTGGTTCTTTTAAGTTCAAATTCAATCAATCATCCGGCGCATCTGGAGTAGAGATAAACCTTGATTTCGCAAAGGGTTGTAGTTGGAATCCGTCAGGGACCTGTTTTTTTTTAGCAAACTACAGTTTGTGCTTTTTCAAGCGATCGTCCTTCTGTCGATTTCTGTCGTTTTTACGTAGGTCGAATTTTTTTGAAGCTTAAGCTTTCTTCCAAATTGATTTAACCCCCATACTTAAGTTGACAAAGTACGGTAAATGCTCTTGAATGCTTTTTTTTCAATGGAGAAGATTGTTTTCCTTGACATGCTCTCGATAAGCAAACGTTATCAAACAAGAGTTTATACTTTTTTCGGGTTAACAACTTGTTCAACAGAATCACTTGCATTTTGGCTCATA